ATGTGTAAGTTGGCTTCAGTTGCAGGCAAACTGCAGCATGCCACTTCACTTCGGCACCCACGTACTATTCAGTTTAGATTCGCGCGGAGCAAAATCAGTGTTGCTCACGGCCATGATCGATACCCATACATGACAATGGCAAGTTTGTAGTAGTCAAGTAGGCTTTATCTTAATAGACTACAAAACACTGAATTTATGATGTTTAATGTCTTTCTTGCCAATCCTTCTCATATATTAATTCCTTTGATCATTAAAAAGTGACTGATTACTTTTGTATTGTTATTCTTTTTATAGATCGTCTGAATAAGATATTGGGGAAAAGATCAACATCTGAAAGAACAAGTGCAGGTTCAGTTCACAGTATGGTTGTATCACCCCCAGCTGAAAGTCAAGATGAAGAGCCGCTGAATATTGGCAGTGAAAATGAAGTTGCAAATGAAGTGATTGATCTGGAGGGCGATATTCAGGATGCAGGAGTCGATGAGCCTGTAGGGAAGAAACAAAAGAAGACCACATCAGAATGTTGAGACCATTTTGATAAGTTTTTCAAGATAGTGGTGGTAGATAGCAAGAAAGTTAAGGAAGCATGGGCTAAATGCAAGTACTGCACTTATGATGCAAAGAGAAATAGCAGGAATGGGACATCAGTCTTCTTGAACCATATTAAGATGCATAGTGTGAAGTCAGGCTAACAGTTGCTCAAAGTAGAGAAGAAGGAACATGGTTCTGTTGCTGTTGAGGCTTATAAGTACGACCAAGAGTCTTCCTTGAGAAAGCTCCACTTGGCAATAATCATGCATGAATATCCCTTTAATATTGTTGAGCATGAATACTTCCATGACTTCATCAAATCCTTACTGTTAGAAATGAAATAGTGGCTATGTTTGAAACAGAAAAGGATAAGCTGTATGAGTATTTCAAAACAATTAACTGTCATTTTAGCACCACAATGGACATGTGGACATTAAATCAGAATAAAGGGTACATGTGTGTCACTTTGCATTGGATTGATGATGAACGGATTATTCAGAAAAGGATCATCAAATTTATGCATGTAGAAGGGTGCCATACTGGTCTTAACATGTCTGGAGAATTTATTGTTAGCATTTTGCGCTGGTTTATTGAGAAAAAAATGTTTTCTCTTACTTTGGACAATGCATCTTCAAATGAAGTTTGTGTTAAACATGTCATTAGTAAACTGAAAGAGTATTCCCCTCTAGTATGTGACGGTGAATTCTTTCATGTGAGATGTGCAAATCATGTTCTTAATTTGGTTGCTAGAGATGGTCTTGATCAAATTTCAAATGCAGTTTGGGGTGTTAAGGCATTTGTTTTGGCAGTAAAATAGGAGGAATTCTATAAGTGTGCATCCGAGTGTGGGTTGTCCACAGAAAAAGGTCTACGGCTGGATGTCCAAACGAGGTGGAATTCTACATACCACATGTTGAGTGATGCCCTACATTATAAGAAGGCCTTTGATAGGTTGCATGAGATTGACAAAAAGAAGTTTAATAAGTTTGCTCCAACAGCTGATGATTGGGACAAGGCGCTTACTATTTGTAGATGCTTGAAGAAGTTTGATGATCTCACTACTCTACTATCAGGTAATCAATATCCAACATCAAACTTATTCTATAAAGGCTTCTGCGAGATCAAGGCTTTAATTTCTGGTTGGCGTAAAAGTAGTGATACTACTATTAAAAAGATGGCAGCTTCTATGCAAACTAAATTTGATAAGTACTGGAGGAAGTCAAATCTTGCTCTTGCGGTTGTCTTCTTTCTTGACCCTAGATACAAGAGAAGTGGAATTGAACATTACATGAGAAAGGTTCATGGGGAACTAATGTATCGTGGTAAAGTAGAAGAGTTGATTATTGCTGTGAAGCAGATGTACCAAGCATATGCTTCTAAGTATTCACAGAGCAATGATGGACCTAGCTGTACTACCACTTCCCAAGAAGGTGTGACTGATCTTATGGTAGAAGATGAAGATGATTATTTTCTGTCTCAGCAGGGCACTCATGGGTCTAATGATGGCGACACTGACTTGGATAAGTACATGGCAGAAGCTACAGTAAGGCTTTCAAAGGTTGCTTTTGAGAACTTTGATATCTTATCATGGTGGAAAACACATCAAGATGTATATCCTGTGTTATCAATGCTTGCTCGTGATGTTTTGGCCATACAAGTGTCCACGGTTGCCTCGGAAGCAACTTTCAGTGTCGGTGGTCATGTTATTGATCCATTCCACAGTCGTCTCGACCCCCATGTGGTAGAAGCATTAATATGTACAAAGGACTGGGTTGCTGCATCTAGGAAAAATGACAATAAAAGAGGGGATAGACTTGGTTCTATTGTGAACGATCTGGAGGTTGTGGAAACACTTATTGCTAATATGAGTCTTGAGGAACAGCTTGACGAAAAGGTAAGGCCCTGCCCTCTCTACCGCTCTTACTAATTTTTCAAGGGACTTGCCTTCATGATCATTAATTCCCTATACATCATCTAATGCTAATATATTTCCTGGACTTTGTAGTCACAAGCAGAAGCTGGCAGTGATGATGACAATTTCCATTATACCATGAGTACTTCAACTTTAGGGGAGAGGCTAGCTGTGCAAGTATGTCTGATTGCCTCTTGAACATTACTGCTATTTTATTTCTTTTAAGTAATAACAATATTTTCCTTAAATTTTATGCTGCTGATACATAGGATAATCAAGGAACGGATCTTGAATAGGAGGCTGATAAACTGCATCAGGAGCAAGAAGTTTAGGTATGCAGTTATACCGGCAATTCTCTGATGTATGTTAGTATATATTGCCAGCATGTATCCTCTTTACACATATGGATTAGTTTTACTAATATATGCCTTCTATATGTGTGCTGCTACTTGCTAGTTACGAATCACATGCCGATCAGGTTAGATTTACATTTATATATACATTTGTACTCATGATTGAATATGTATGTTGCTAGTTACCGATCAGATATCAATATAATTGAATTAGTCATGTATGTATAGTACGTGCATCAATGCAATATCTGGTGCTTGATGTTTCTCTTCTCTATATATACACACACACTAAGAAGTTACAGATTAATCATGTGGATATATACACCTCAGAATTGACGCATGTGCATTCGAACTACTTAATTGTCCACAGCTAAGTATCAATAATTTATCTGATTGTCAAGTGTAGCATCTAATATCTCTTATCATTCCCACAGGGTGATGCCAATGGATTGGAAGAACACCATGTTGAAGAGAAATCAAGGATGATTACCGGCTTCTACTTGATCGGATACTTGCCTTTCATAATAAATAAAAACTTCGATTGAATTAAGTATTTCTTAAGTACGACCTTTGTCTTGGACTCTATGTGTAATGCTATCCACATCTTATCGGCACTACATATTATTGCTATACTGGTGATTTATAACTTTAAAATGCCACTCTCTACTGTTATGCGCTTGGACGAAAAAGTGTTTTCATATTGTTTGCTTAGTAGAAATAAATCATGTCTTTGCGCGTATCATCCGATAATTTTAGTCCGTTTCCGATTCGAATTTATCCGCTTCCGCTCTGAATCCGTAGTCCGACATAATCCGCATTCGAATCCGCATCCGGTCATTATCCGCTCCGCTCCGAATCCGACCAAAAAATATGGTAATGGATATGGTAAAAGCATTATCCGATTCGATCCGATCCGTTTACATCCCTAGACGTGAGTCATCGTGATCGTGCATGATGCGTGTATGGTTAGTGCGTGATTATAAAGGGGAGTTGCACACTCCACTCCCTCCACGATGTGCAAAAACAATGGTTTGTGCACGTGAAAACGGCGACGAAACCATGGATCATCCGGGAAAGTTGGGTTCGGAGCAGAGTAGTCTCTCTGCAGTAGCCGTGCTCCGGATACCCTATCCCAATTGATCACTCTTCTTCCTTTGATTGAGCCCTTAAAGTTGAGAATATGCTCCACCTGCCAGTCCATTTCCTCTTGCATGCTCATGAGCATGATCATGTCCACTTCTTCGTCCAAATTCAAGGATTCGAAGAACTCATCTTGAATCTTTTGATCAAGCTCCGTCAACCATACTCCTTGTCCGGTGAAGGGTCAAAATTCATCGTTTTGCCTAATAAAATTAGAAAAAACTAGGTCCGACAGTGTGTTGAACACATAGAACGCAAGGCGGAGTCAGGGAGTTGTCGGACGTATCGCGGTGGCGTCCGGGCTGGTGACGAGGATGGGGGAGAGGACTGTTGTGCCTGTGCTGGTGGTGTAGAGGCTAAGAGCGGTTGCGGAGTGCACGCAGCGGCGGAGCGGCGAGACAGCTGTCACGGAGGAGGAAGAAGAGAGGAGAGAGCAAATGGATTCGGTAGGTCGAGGGGTGGATTTGGTGCATTTTGAGGTGGGGTAGGGCTGTCGGGTCCGACATGGACGACGCGCCCGGGCGCTCCTTTATTCGCCCATACTTGGGCCGTATATGAGGGGCGCCGGTCAGCCCTGGCGTTTGAGGCATGTTTGAGGCGCCCGTCTAGGCCGCATTTTTGTGACTGGTCAGTAACCGGGACGTTCGCCCGGGCATTTGAAGCGGGTTTGGGTGCCCGTCTGTAGATGCTCTAAAGCTTTTGAGGGGTCGGTTAGGTGTCGATTAGAGGAGGAAAATCAGATATTGGGATTCAGGAGGTGGGGAGAACCTTATTACATATTCAAGAAGTCGCCTCCGCATCGTCTTCCTGAGCATGACACATACCCTAACAAAACTAAAAAAAAAACATCTAAAAACAGAGTCCTCTCACCGACAAGGGCCGATATCCACCGCGCCTCTATGGTTCTAGGACCATAGGAGAAGAGGCAGACTGGCAGGGGCGCCGACAAGAGGCAAAAAGAAACCTAGCTGAGAGCCCACGGGTAGCACGTACCGTGAAGCTGGGAATTTTGATGGTATTGACCTACAGGAGAGATCTTTTCTTTAAACAATAACCTAGCTTTATTAACATACAAAAGCAGAAGCAGCTAGATCGATGGCTACCACAGAAGATACAATGCCAGGAACAACGTCATGCCAATACATGGTACCTCCCTCGGACATATGGACACCATGGGTAGCCAGAAGATGTGCCACTGAGTTACAGACACGCTTACATACATGCACTTTAAACTCAATAAAGCTAGTAAAAAGAAGGAATTTTGCCTCCCGAAAAAGAACTCCGATACGAGCAGTATCCAATTCATTGGAAAGAAGAGCTGAGGCGAGCATTGTGGAGTCTGTTTCAATGATGATACTCCCAAACCCAACTACAGCCGTGAACTCAATCCCCTTCAGACAAGTTATCGTCTCTGCATGCAAAGCATCCGTCAGGAAGTGGATTTGGCCCATGCCAGCATCGACGACATCTCCAGAAGCATCCCTAGCACAAAAACCTCAACCTCCTGTACCGTTATCTTTTAGAAGCGAGCCATCAATGTTTATCTTTAGGAAGTCGTCGGGAGGCTTGGACCAACGCTTATTAGGGGCAATAACTAAACATGAAGATATACGAAGATGTTCAGAAAATTATGTAACTTGTACAACAGTAGAGGAAACAATCACCGCTGCTGAATGACACCTATCACCATTATTAACGGCATTTCTAGCATTCCACATCAAACAAATGCAGAACATTGATGTGGCATTCTCCAAGCTTAGGGGGTGTTTGGTTGAGAAGCCCTAGGACTTTTTCTAGTCTCAGGGACTAATCAAAAAAGACTCTCTAGTAGAGTCTTTTTTTAGTCCCTGTAGAAAAAGTCCCTCCCGTTTGGTTCCTAGGGACTTTTTAAGGACTTTTTCTAGTCTCTGGGACTAAAAAGTCCCTGAACCAAACACCCCCTTAGTAGAGCTTCGACTGATTGTTTTGCATCAGTACAATTGAGAAGCAAACCCCCTATCTGCTCCTGTTTAGCTTCCCGCCAAAGAGTCTTTGCAAATTTACATTTGAGGAAGGCATGGCCACCATCCTCGTCAAGGCGATTGCACATCAGGTAGATGGTATCCAGGTCAATTCCACGACGTTTAAGATTTAATCGGACAGGAAGGGTGTTGTGACCCAATCTGCAAAGGAACATCATGATTTTCCTAGGCATTTTCAAACTCCAAAGCTTGGTCCAAACCTTTGCAGCACTTGTTGTCCGATCTGCTACAGCCTACAGTGGAAGTTGATGTTTGACCTGCAGCAACATCGTCCAACTGAAGTTTTGAGTTTGTAAAGCTGAAGAGCTGGCAAACACTCAACCGTGTCCCGTCGTGGCAGCTCGCAAGAGTCCTTCCGTGGCACCGCACTGGCGCAGGGACACCGGGCACGGCAGATCCAGCAGCCCGCCAGCACAACGAACCGTTCAACAAGCAAAGCCAAGCCGTGTCACGTCGCGTGCGGCAGCTACCTGTCACTGTGCCAGCGACCCGGCCAGCGTCCACTCCGGCCGGCATCCGTCTTCTCCGACGCGACCGCTGCCGTCACTCGTTACAGCTGCTTTGCTTCTGCTTGCACGGACTCCCTGGGCGCGACCCGCACGTATCAGGTGCCTGCGCCTGTGCCCTTGGGCGTCGCCGGTTGCCGACGTTCCCGCAAGACACCGGAATTTGTTGATTCCCAAAAACAAAAGGACACCGGAATTTGCTGCTCTCTGCCAAGCCAAATGGAATCATGCTGCAGGCGCAGGATGATTAACGAAAACGAGTGCCGGCCTAACCATCCCCGCCCGCTAAATAATCGTCCAAGTTGACGTTCCGGCTCCCGGTTCCTGCTCGCGTCAGCGCATAGCTTATTAGCTTTGTTAAACGGCTAGGGGTCCAGATATTTTCCGGAGCATCTGCATATCTTATCTTATTCTGGTTGGATGGAAGCATCAGCAATTCAGCACCTGCCGTTTTTGTAACAGAAAGTGTGGCCCTCTTGCGGCATGTTCATCCGTTCATCTTCCTTTTTGCACACGGTGAAACCATTTGTGTGACGGACGGGACGGGTCATCTGTACACGTCGCCGAATCCCTGTCTTGAAATGTTATATTATTATTATTACTCCCTCTGTAAACTAATATTAGAGTGTTTAGATAACTAAAATAGTAATCCAAATGCTTTTATATTAGTTTACGAAGGGAGTACTAGATTAGATACGCGCTCTCTCACCGTGACCAGGAATACATGTGCACTATGTTTTATCTTGCACTATGGATCAACCAAAAAGATGGATTAGGACGAACAGAAGTCACTCATTTGGAGATAACCGTGTTGGAACTACGTACATGCATGCTAATCTTATCTCCTGGGGCGATGTCATTACATGCGCTCTTTTGTTCCTACCCTGTACTTTTCGCCAGTATGCAAAAAAATAGCAGCAGTGGTTAGCGGCCACATTCCATAAAAAATGGACCATATCTCCGACCGTATGGGCGAAGGATCTCAGGATAACCGGATAAGCATGCACTGACAGGACCTTTTCCTTCCCCTAAACAACCAATCCGATCGGATCCACCAAAGCGAGAGCCCTTCCCGCGATGCATGATGGTTCCCGATCACAATGCCCAAAGCCACCTGATCTCAATGTGATCCCAATGTTCCTGTGCAAACAAGACACTCGCCAGTTGAAGCTCACACGACACACCTGAAACTGAAAGATTCTCGGTGCAGTAGCGGCCATACATACGCATTCGAACGTTAGCCGTAACTGCATTGGGGCTGATTTAGGAGGGCGGCTAATCTGCACCCGGGCTCATCTGCACCCACGCTTAGAAAAAAATTCAAAAAAAATACTAGAAAAATTTTAAAAATTCCAAATTTGTTTGTGGTGGTAGATAATTTGACGCGTGAGGTGCGCCCCAAAATTCAACTCATTTGAGCATCTGAGCAGCTCTCGGCAAAAAAGACAAAATCAGAATCTGTAAAAATGTATACTGTTCACGCATCTGTTTTGACCCGATTTGTCTTTTTTGCCGAGAGCTGCTCAGATGTCCAAATGAATTGAATTTTGAGGCGCACCTCACGCGTCAAATTATCTACCACCACAAAAAAAATTAGAATTTTTTGAATTTTTCTAGTATTTTTTTTTGAATTTTTTGCTGAGAGGGAGCAGATGAGCCCGGGCACCGTTTTGAGTTTTCCCTGATTTAGGGACATCTCTCTCTCCGTCTGAAAAGAGCCCACACGCAGTTTCTCTCCTGCAAGAAATGCCCACATCCTGAACCTGCTCGGCCGGACAAAAGCTCCCGGAGCAGCGCCCATTCCATGCCCAAACTGCATCGTCCTTATCCGCGGAAGATGCCTGCCAGTGCCAGTGGTGCATCACTTTGCTCAAATACAATGCACCCTACTGCAATTCATTAGGAAGATGTCAAAATCGACGACGAGCTGCACATGCATTTCGACCTTTCCCCGCTAGATACGACGAACAGGATTAGGATTAGGATTAGGCGGCGGAAGTGTTTGGCCAATCTCGGATGCAAATCGGGATTAACGCTTATCCGGAACATAGCAACCGGAGACGACCCGGTGACACTGACAAAGCAAGTTAACCCCGAGATCTATCGATCGGGAGCGTCGCTGGAAACTGGGAGTGCAGAGTCAGCAGCACCGCCAGAACCACGTAGGTGAAAATGACAAGACAGAAGCTTCAAGAGCCCGAACAGCACATGTAGCAGCAGTCAAGGGGAGTCCAATAAAACTAAAACACGTCCGTTCACCTTTTTCTTGGCACATTTTCTCCCCTCCTGCGTGGAGCTTTGACGACGTTGGCGCCGTTCAGGTACGTGTTGGTGCAGCATTTGGTGTCACGGTCGCTGGGAGTTCACCAGTGGCACGCAACGCATGGTGGTGACATGGGAGCGCCAAAGAGGTGAATGAACAGCTTGCAACAGTGGAGCAATGAAATTTAATCGTCATTTCATTGATTGCATTTTTTGTTGGTAGCTTACCAAGCTGGCCGCTTGGTAATTTCATTGAGTATAATTTTCGTTGGTAGCTTATCAAGCTGACCGCTTGGTAATTTTGATCGTCATTTCGTGGAGTGTACTCGGGCGTCTGAGCTCTCAGAGATCCTTTTTTCTGTGATTAACGTGCTTGAAAGGAATACTCAAACACTAATAAGGTCCAAATGCTTCCCGGGACACCTATTCTAAAACGAGTGTTCTAAAACTAAGCGAGCTCGACTCGACTGGAATCGAATTGATGGCTAATCAAGAGAGTTGGCTCATATTCTTCCCACAGCATTTGAGCTAATCGCCAAACATACAAAAATAAATAAGTGGTTAGTGAGAAAGGTGTGCTGATCCCGCCGGTCTTCGGCCCTTGTCATCATGTCTGGCTTAATAATGTAATATTTTATCTGATAATTTATTTTGGCATAGTTCATTAGTACTCCATAATTCTAACATAAATATAAGTATCTATTCTGCTGATACCGACCGCGTACAAGCCTATGTTTTCTTTAGGCAAAAATACACAATGAGTACAATTATTAGTGCCCCTTTAAAAAGTAGTAAAATGATTGCAATTAGAAATACAACTATTAGGGTCCCTTTGCCCTTAATTAAAAGGAGTATGGAGGCCAGGCACTTTGAAACGACAAAAGGGAAGACTTCATATCAGTTGTTGGGCATTTTTTTCCGCCCGTGTTTGTTGGGCACTTTCTTTTAGTCATGGTTTGTTGGGCATCTTCACCAAATCAAAAACAAGCCTTGGGGCCTAGCAAGGAGGCAAAGAAATCTATTGCAGAAGGATTGGCCTTCAAGATCGAGGACCACAAAAAATTGTTCTATATTTAAAACTAGGGTTTTAATGCTTATTTGTTGGACATTTTGGTGTGAGTGAAATGTTAGGGTGCTCCAACACAAGTCCACGCTACTGTCTATCATTCACTCCAACATCAAGAATGAGGCATCGCTTTGGGTCACCGTCGTCGCGAAGCACTTGGGAAACATCATGCTGCGATAGTAAATGCGTTGTGATTTCATTTCACTTTTGTTTGTGAAAGCAACTCCAAACTCATTAATTAATGGATATAACACTAGTCTATATTACTACTAACTTCGTAGTGCAAAGTATTACTATCATCTATTAGCATGTAGACTCAATTTTTTCAGGAAGTCCTATGTGATGTAACATAATATGTTATCACAAACATAGCTTTGTTAACTAGCTGCCACATAAACAAATTTATCTTGGAGTAAAGTTATTTACTTGCTATAAGTTACTCCCATTATGAATAGCCTAATCCTCTTGACCCATACAAAATGGCTTAGGTAAGAGCATCTACAGCCGGAAGCCTTAAATCATCTCCCTTATGCCCGCGGACGCGCCCGATCATTCACCGGACAGGAGAGAGAAGAAAAACGTGGCCCAACTAGGCCCCTCATATGTTCCCTATGGGCGTGTTTGGATGACTGCCTCGCACTTGGCTCGCATCCTGCGGACGAGCTCGACGGAGCTCGTCCCGGCACCGGCCCAATCTCTGCCGTCGGCGCTCCTCCACACCCACGCCGGGGGCTCGCCTTCCTGCCTCGACATCATCGGTTTCCGCCGCTGAACTCCTCAATAGCCGCGTGCGGCCTGCCCTGTGGATGAGCTCGCTGGAGCTCGTCAGCCTACCCTCCACCGATCGAGAGGAAATAGGGGTGAGGGGAGCATCTAGCGCCGTGAGCCGCAACTACCATCGAGTTCTCATCGGGCGCCGCTTTTCTCCGCTGTTTGAGCTTTGTTGGTTCAGATTTCAGTTTAGGCTTTGATTGGCTTCAGAAATTTGTGATAAATAAAAGGGAGTGCCTAGAACTCATCTAGATGAGATATAATTTGGTCTCATTCACTTTGAAAACAAGAACAAATACAACCCACATCAGCATAAGCGCATCTTATAGCATCACATCCAATGGCTATAAAAGGTGAATGAGACCAAACTATATCTCATCTACTCCCTCCTTTCCGATTTATAGGGCTTATCTCAAAATTTTAGTTTTTCCATTTTATAAGGCTCAATTTGGTTGTTTCTCATCACATGTTCAGATTCCAAGGTGCATTAAATCATTGCATGCAAGTATTAAGAGAAAATTGACCAATGCATATAATTTATGCATGCATGCATTGCAATTAATGCATTGGTAAACATACTTTTTTGAGGATAACAAGAGCATTAATTGGGTGCTTTTGCAAACTACAAAAAGTATTCCACCACTCACCATCTACCTTGGTTGGTGAGATTTTTGAATTGAGCCTTATAAACCGGAAAGGAGGGAGTAAATGAGTTCTAGCAAAACTGTAAATAAAATTACAACTTGAGCTCTGCTTCAGATTTAAGTCCGGGCTTATTTTACTTGTTGTTTTTTGTCCATGGAACCATCCAAATTCAATTGGAATGCTTGAAATTCGAAGAGAAAAGTTCATATATAATTAAGCTCAAATGCAGCTTACCAAACAACATCTGTTGTATATGGCATCTCTCATGCATACATATCATGCAGCTTACCAAACACACATCTCAACTCGTCTTTGCATCGGCTCAAACAGGCCACGCTCACCCAGGATCCCCCATGCCATGCAGACTAGAGCCACCCAGGTAACCAAACACGTCCTATATGTCCGGGTTGTCCGCGAACCCTAATATCCATCTCAAATATGGAAAGGATATGAGGGCTCGCGGACACGCCCGGAAGCGCCCGGACAATCCGCCACATAGGACGGGGCCCCATCCCGGACCACCTTTTCTCTTTCGTTATTCGTTCTTTTATTTCTCTCTTTATCTCTATCAATCGTGTGCAAGTGACCGGATATATGAGAAAGAAATGAGGATTGTGGCTGCGCGGACGAATAAACAGGGACTCAAAATGGACATGCCCCGTCACTAACCAGACGTGTCCGCGATGTTTGGAGGGTCGAATTAGAGGCACGTGGCTGAAGATGCTCTAAGCTGAGTAATCATAGATGCACTCCACTTATAGCAGAACAAAAAGGCAGTACGCAGCACGATTCCTAGCAGTTCATTTTCGTCACATCAACTCAACTGATAAGAATCTGAAATATAGAGAGGACCATCGACCATGTGATCATCGAATCGAATCCCCGGGAACAAAAGCTGAATTGATCAGGAACAAAACTTTGCATATATGTACACATCGATCGCCGGACGTATACATCACGCACAAATCCTCGCAAGTATCGTCATCTACAAACACCTCTCTCTTCAAGTTGCTCTGCACGTTACACCGAGCCTTAGCACTCTAGTCAGAGTTGGCTGCCCCGAAGAAACTAGTAGCACTAAAATTTACAGCCCAAGCTGGTGCACCGATCGGGCAAGTCCTACACAGCATCACTAATTTGCCCCATTTGTATGCACAGACAAAACGAACGCCGGAACGGCCTGGGATCACGCGACGGCGCCCGGCAAGGCGGGCACGTCGCCCTGCCACGCCCAGACGATGTCCGCGAGCCCAGGGCGCACGTCCTCGGCGCAGAACTTGTTGAAATCGAGCGCGTCGCCGCCGTCGTGCGCGAACTCGACCACGGTCACGTCGGCGGCCACCTCGAACACCTCCGCGGTGACCGCGAGCCGCCCGTTCGCGCCGTCGGCCTTGGCCTCCATTCTGATCCTCCACCCTTTCCCTCTGGTCGTGTTGTACCTCAGCGCCTTGCCCGCGGACTCCAGCTTGTGGAACACGGTGGCCGCCGGCGCGCGGGACGTGAACACCGTCGCGGCCTTCTGCTCGCTCTCGAACAGCCCCGACAGGTCGAACCCGGAGGACATGGAGGATATGAGCTGGAACGCATTGCACGTCCGCGGCGAGATGTTGCCGGAGCTGTCCTCGCTGCCGTCGATCAGGGCGGCGGCGTTGTCGTCGTCCCACTTCCTGGGCGTGACGGGGGAGGACGGGACGGGCGGCACGAACCCCCTCTTGAACCACGGCGTGAGCATGATCTCCGGGATGGAGATGCGCTTGGCGGGGTCGACGGCGAGCAGGCGGCCGATGAGGCGGCGTGCCTCGCCGGAGACCCAGGGCGGCATCTGGTACTCGCCCTTGAAGATCTTCTGGTACATCTTGACGTAGTTGTCGTGCTGGAAGGGGAGGAAGCCGCAGAGCAGGACGTAGAGCACGACGCCGCAGGACCACATGTCGGCGCGCGCGCCGTCGTAGCCGCGCTTCCGGAGCACCTCCGGCGCGACGTAGGCCGGGGTGCCGCACTGCGTGTGGAGCAGGCCGTCGTGGCGCAGCTGCTCGGGCAGCGCGGCGAGGCCGAAGTCGGTGACCTTGAGCCGGCCCTCCTCGTCCAGCAGGAGGTTCTCGGGCTTGAGGTCCCGGTGCGCGACGCCGCGGCTGTGGCAGAAGGCGACGGCGGCGACGAGCTGCTGGAAGTACTTGCGGGCGGCGTCCTCCGTGAGGCGGCCGCGGGCGACCTTGGCGAAGAGCTCCCCGCCGCGCGCGTACTCCATGACGACGAAGACGCGCTGGCGGCTGGCGAGCACCTCCCGGATGCCGACGACGTTGGGGTGGCGCACCATGCGCATGATGGAGATCTCCCGGCGCAGCTGCTCCACCATGCCGTCCGTCTGGCGGAGGCGGGCCTTGTCGATGACCTTGATGGCCACGCTCTGGCCGTCGCGCAGGTCGCGGCCGTAGTAGACCTTGGCGAAGGAGCCCTGCCCCAGCATCCGCCCCAGCTCGTACTTGCCCAGCACCAGGTTCCTCACCTCGCCCTCCCGCCCTCTCGCCATTGCCGGCTGCTCTGCCACGAGGATTGCTCGGAAGTTGTTAACTTGTTTTGGAAGTTCACTAATCACTACCACTGCTGCTGCTGCTGCTACTCGTCTGGGATTTAACTAGGCGGGGTTGGCACGCGTCATGGTGGCTAGTGGCGCTCGGCACGCAGAGATGCGGCGCGTAGATGGGAGCGGGCACATGGGTTTGACGCGGGCGTTGCTGGTTTGAGGAGGGCGGCACACTGGTTCGGCACCGTGGGGTACGCTGCAGCCGGTCGCTTATTTGTACTGGCGTGATGGCCGAGGGCGGTGTGGTGCGGGGCGGTGGAGAAGGAGAGGTGTGCAGGTGGCTAGCAGGCTAGCTGGGTCAGGGGCGTGTGGGGTCGGGTGGACGACGCGCCGGGCGGTGCAGGCGAGAGGGGACAAATGTGAAGGCGTCGAGGTGCGAGGTTGGGAGTGGTGGAGGAAGAGTAGCCCGGTGACGGCCCATGAGTGGTGGAGGGGGGTTTGTTGCTTCAGGTTGCAGCAGCACGGAAGGTGGTGAAGGGGGCGTGTCTGCCGGCTAATTGGGCCGATTACTATACCCGTTCAACGTTTAACGAATGCGGCCAGACATGTGAACTTGGTTGGACCGGGCATTTGCTTTGCACGAAACACCCGGCAGCCTTCCGCGGCGTCAACGGTCCAACGTCCAATGAATCTTCATCTTCGCGAACCTCTTAACCACTGTTTTCCTATTTCTCAGGAAAAAAACACAATGTTTTCCTTGCCAATTCTATTGAAGCCACTGTTGACCCTCCTCCCCTAACTGCCCTTTGAGGATCCCTTGACCGAGGAGGCACATCGTTGCCCTCCTATGGCCCCCTCTATGGTTGCTAGGCTATGGTCAAACTATTTTTCAAGCGGATGCTTTCATTTCCGCTTCTCTCTCCAACCCTTTTCCGAGAGTCACCTTGAGTCCAATGATCCCTCTTTACTGAGGTGTTCGACTCGTTAAGGCTCAACTCTTTAAGCTCGCGATTGTCAAGGCTCGGTTTGTAAAGCTCGGTACTTATAACAAGATAAAATTCATGATCAACTCGATTATTTTAATGCTCGTTAAGCACGTGAGCACTCGTTATAGAAGTACACGACTCAACAATATTACACACAATTTATAATGGGCTACTCATTCGACTTCGACTAGGCCAGCCAAGTGTAAAAGAGGGATAAGGTGGCCGATGGGCAACATGAAATTGGGGTTACTAGGCTAAGCGGCTGAGCCTTGGCA